TACGTCCTCAGAGAAATCCACGAAGGAGTGTGCGGCAATCACTCAGGCGCCCGGTCACTGTCAGCCAAAGTGATCCGACAAGGATACTATTGGCCGACCCTCAGCCAGGACGCCAAGAAGTTCGTTAGAACTTGCGACAATTGCCAACGCTACGGAAACATAATCCACCAACCTCACGAGCTGCTCACCCCCATCTCGGCCCCGTGGCCATTCGCGCAGTGGGGGGTAGATATCATTGGTCCTTTCCCTTTGGGCAAAGGCCAGACCAAGTTCGCTGTGGTTGCTGTGGACTACTTCACAAAGTGGGCCGAGGCCGAGGCACTCTCCCACATAACGGAATCCAGAGTCACGTCCTTTGTATGGACAAATAYCGTATGTCGCTTTGGTATACCGAAGGCCATTGTGACAGATAATGGGAAGCAGTTTGACAACGCAAAGTTCAAAGACTTTTGCAGCAAGCTTGGCATAAGTCACCTTAGCTCGTCCCCCGCACACCCGCAAGCAAACGGGCTGGTGGAGGCAGTGAACAAGATCGTCAAGTGAGGCATCAAACTTAGACTAGACTCCAAGAAAGGCAGGTGGGCCGAGGAGCTACCAGAGGTTCTATGGTCGTACCGGACCACCCAAAGAGAATCGACGGGTGAGACTCAGTTCTCCCTAGCCTTCGGCTCCGAAGCTGTAGTCCTGGTTGAGATCGGCATGCCATCTGACAGAGTAGAGCATTACCAGCCTACAGCAAATGAGGAAGAGCTGCTCCTCAACCTCGACTTGTTGGAAGAAAGAAGAGCAATGGCCCAGCTACGCCTGGCGGAATATCAGGGCAGAATGGCCAGGCATTACAACGCCCGCGTTCGACCTCGGACCTTCCAGGTCGGACATCTGGTCTTAAGGAGGGTCCAAACCCATGTGGGTGCCCTTGACCCGACCTGGGAGGGGCCGTTTGAAGTCAGGGGAATAGTCCGACCTGGGACGTACATATTGGCCGATCTGAAAGGAGCGTCCTCGCGCACCCATGGAACGCGGAGCACCTGAAGCGTTATTATCCTTGAAATGCCAAAATGGTTTTCAGTGGATTTGTAAAAACTGTTTCAATCGGAAATGTGATGATTTAATTTCATGATTCCGGGTTCGACCAGAAATTAAATGGGGGTCATGGACTCCCACACGATCACATTCCAGCAGTCGGTTAAAATTCAATCCTCAAAAACCTAAGGGTACGAGGTGCGATGCCAAAACCACTGATGAACTTAAAATTCAAACCTTCAAGCTAAAGGGACGATGTGAAAAGTTCAAAATGATCAAGTCTCTGAACCTGAGGGTACGATGTACGATATGAAGAACAGCTATGAACTTAGGATTTTAGCCTTTTAACGTTTTTAAGTTAAGGGTGCGATGTTAAAAAAACCAGAGTTGGTGCAATGTATTGAATACTAGACAGAGATTCGAATTCAAAATTTCAAGTATTTTTTGAAGGCGCGACCTTAAAAGTACGAGGTGCGAGGTGACATTGGCTTTAGCTTAAAGAAAAAGCAAAGAAAGGAAGGCAACAAAGTTAAAACAAATGGGAGCTTCTTTATTGAATGGAGAGCAGAGCCAAGGCTTATAGACCTTGCAGCTCTGCCCTGACACTTACAAACAAAGTAGAAAAGAAGAAAGACAGAGAAACGCCTCATGAAGGATGATCGCCTAAGAGCCTGCCTGAGGAGCGTCCTCCTGAGTGGTGCCGACCTGGTCCTCTTCGAGGTCGGAGTAGTCCGAGTCCAGATCTCTGACGTACTTATCCACCAACGCTTGGGGACCAGGGGTGCCACTAGGCCCAGACGCCCACTGCTCAGCATACTTCTTCTTAAGACCACCGAGATCGATCTGAAGGTCAGGCATGTCGGAAGCCATGCCCTTCATGAGAAACTTGAAGCCCGCGTCAGAGAAGTCTTTGGCAAATCCATCGAAGTCAGGATGTTGCCTGAACGATTCCTCCAATAGGGCTCCATTGCTGAGACGCTCCTTTACCATCTCCAGCTCAGCAGTCGCGTGCTTCAGCTCCTCCTCCTTCGCTTCAAGCGCCTGGAGCATGTCGTCCTTCTCCTTGAGGAGTTGGAACTTCTCCTTCTCCAAGCCCTTGGTGATAGCATGGGCAGCTCGGAGCTGGGCCTTGCGTCTATCCTCTTCCTTCTTCAGCAGCTCGGCCTTGGTCTCCACCTCGGCCTTCAAAATTTCTACCTCAGAGTGAGCCTTCAGCAGCTCATCCTTCATGGTGGAAGAAGCAGCGTCCAAGGCAGTAGAGAACTCCTCTTTCTCCCTCGCTGCCAGAACTTCCCTCTCATCCAGCTCGGCCTTTACAGCCAGAGCCGATTGAATGGAAGCAACAAACGCTTGAGGAAAAACACGAAGAAGAAAGTTAGACCGAGCTACCTGTTAGGTAAATTAAGCAAATAAAGACACCAATCTTACCTCAGCGGCGTAGTCGATGGTCCTCTGCAGGACGGACCCCGGGTCACTTACAAATTTGGACGCTCTTCTGAGGCAGCGGTCCAAACTTGAAGCCGAGAT